CGGAGCCAGCAGCAGGGCATCAATTCCTTATCTTGTGTTATCTCTTCAGCTTTCTTTTCTGCTGCATCTCTCTGACTCCTCAACATTCTTTTTCTACTTTGAAGGGTTCAAATGATTCATTTAGGCCTACCAGGATAATTCACAATAATCTAGGATAATCTTTCTATTTTAAGGTCCATAACCTTAGAATCACAGATTCTGGGGATTAAGGCATGCAAATATTTGGGGCCTCATTATTCTGCCTACCACAGGACTTTTCCATCTGTACCACTGGTTCTCAATTGTAGCTATACATTAGAATCACCTGGAAAACCTGAAAAAATGCTTATCCCTGGGCCCCAATCAAGATGAAGTGAATCAGAATTTCTAGGAGTAGAATCCAGGAATGATATATTTATTTTTTGCTTTTTCTCCCCAAAGCCCCTCTGTACATAGTTGTATATTCTTTAGTTGTGGGTCCTTCTAGTTGTGGCATGTGGGACGCTGCCTCAGCGTGGCTTGATGAGCAGTACTGTGTCCACGCCCAGGATTCGAAACAATGAAACACTGGGCTGCCTGCAGCGGAGTGTGAGAACTTGACCACTCAGCCACGGGGCCAGCCCCAGGAATGATATTTATTTAAAGGTGTCAGAAAATTATAATATGCTTGAGAGGATTAAGAACATCCTAAAACACCAGGTTTCTTCAATTTGATTAAATTCATTTTGTAAGTAATCCACTCAAAATACACTTTCTCTGTAACCTCTTTATGCCCTGGCTCTGCTAGGGTTTGGAGTCACCAAGATGGTAATGATGCAAGTCCTATTCTTACTGTGCTCACAATCTAGTGGCACAAACAGACACACAAAGGAATAATTACAACATGACATGATACGTTTTAAAATAGATATTTGGATAACTTGTTCTGGGAGTTCTGGGACATTAATTGTGCCTCGGAACATTGCAGAATATTTTGCTTGATTTACACTTGATAGTTCTTTTTCAAGTAGTCTGGTCAGTACTTAGAGGAATGAATTTAAGTCTGTCCAGGTTTCAGCATGCCCAGTGAGGATGATGTATTTATATTGTGCTTCCCAAAATCTAACAGGCCAAGAATTTCCCCGGGTGCTTACTAAAAATGCAGATTCCCAAGTTCATCTCCCGAAGATTCTGATTCAGAGGGTCTGTGGTGGGGCCTAGACACTCTAACATGTTCAGCAAGTTCTGGTGGTGATCCTCAAGCAGGGATCCGTGAACCCACACTTTGAGGAACGCTGGTTTACACTCCATCAGTGATTTGGTACCTGTTCATTCAATAGCCTGAAAAATAATGCAAGCTCCAAGTGATATTACAAAAAAGGACTTATAGTTTGAGTTTCTTACATGAGTAACGGATCGTTAGGAATGAGAAGTCTCTTTATATTTTAATTTTCTTACCTCTTCGTGTATTGAAAGTGTTAGGGACATTCTAGGCCAGGCTGGGAGTGGGGAATTGAAATCTTACACTGACATTTCTTTCTCAAAGACTCTATCGGAAATAAAGACAGTAATTTGCATGAATAATTCTAGCATGAAGTCTGAGCTTTTACCAAAAAATAAGCAGTGAGGACAGAATAAAGGTAACCAGGATCTTGTACTTTGACATTTTTCTCAGTGACACAATGTATTCTTCGTAGTATAGAATGACAGAAAGAAGTTTCTATTTGCCATACAAGTGTGGAATATTGGAATTGGGGAAAAGCACTTATTCTTTGCTTTGATTCAGGAGAAATGTAGCTTGTTCAATACGCCATAAAAGAAGGCATGTATTAGATAGGAAACAGCCTCATTTTGCTCGAACAAAGGTTCAGGATACTTAATGGCAAATTAGATATGTGGGGAAATGCTTCTGTTAGCCAACTTTATAGTGACTGGGTAAATAAATGGAGAAAAGAATATGGCTCAGGGCCTGTAAAAATTCGAGATACTTTGGAAATGGAGAATGGAGGAGTGGAAGATGAAAGTTTTCTTTTTTTTCTTAATCTTGGAGTGAACATACACTTTTAATATTATGTTTGGGTGACTCAACTAAAAATAAGAATTATTATAAAGAAAAATAAATTTATGGAAAGTGTTTTTAGGAATAATAAAACTTTGGGAAGATAAGAAGCCAGTTTGTAAGGCATTAAGCTGCATTTACAGAATTTGTGTTTTGTGTTCTGATAAATTAGTATTGATTAAGTCACACTGACTGATAATTTTTATGTAGAATAAAACATCCCTTTACACTGAAGTAAGCCAAGAAGATTCGTTGAAATTTATGAACTTGGAAACACAGATCCATGAAAAATGACTTGTGGTGTGGATCTATGGTGATTTTAAGAAATGAAACCAGAATGATGTTACATAAAGCCCTGAGTGACTAGGAAGCTATATTTCAAAAGCTATTTGAGATTTTAAGACATTCTTCATTTCTCAAAGTTTTCTGTGATGAGATAAATTATTTCTATTTTATGTTGGCGATTCTCTGGGCAAATTGCATAGGACTATTTAGAAATAAGCTATTTTTTATTCCATGTGTAAAAATTATTTTGTTTCTAGCAGTAGAGAGAAATCTTCCACTTTGTTTAATTTTGAGAAGTGAAAATAAAATAGTACTTACAGGATCCGTGAGGCTAGCAGTTAGAAAGAGAAAATGCCAGTAACTAATACTATACCATTGTGATTACAAATTCACTTCAGAGTTTAAATTAGAGCTTTCTCAGTTTTGAAGAAGTCCTTTACCTACCAACAAACCTGAGCCCAGTAGGAAAAATACACCAGCAGATTTATTCATTTGACTTGACCTCCTTTAAGTATGTATTTTATCTTTCCTCAAAATTGAATGAGAGCTGCTGCTATATTTCATGAGGCAGCATGTGACTCAGTTATCAGTAAATAATTTAACAAGATCTGAAAGAGGTTTACAATGATTTGCTCAATAGTTTTGGTCAGTTAATATCAAATGTATTTTAGCAAAGATAAATTTGGAATAAGCTAAATATAGAAAAGAGATCCATTTGCTAAATGAGCGTATTAGAGGCAGTATGCCAAGAACCAATCAAATATGCTTCTCCTGATAACGGTCATGTCATTACATCTACCAATATGAGACTCAGTCTAACCTGAACTTCAGACGTATCTGCAATGGTATTATCTACCTGGCCAGTCATGATCCCTCCATTATTGACCTAAAGAACTCTTAGTTAAAGGGGTGATTCCTCCATTTTGGACCACTCACCACATGTGTCTGCTGGCTGGAAAATTTGATAGGGCCTTGAGAGAGAAGATGACTCAAGTGACTGGATCACCACATAAAATGGACATTGCCAGATCTCAGGGAGAGTACAGCTATCCACCATGTGTTTGAAAGTCTGCCACCCAAACTCGTTGCTGCATCCTTGATAAAACCAGGGGCCATAGATCTGCCCTCTTAATTAGATGTGCCGCAAGTTTACATAGTGCAAGATACAACCCTGTTCCTAGGAGCACATTTTCCCAATCACTAGGAAATAGGGTGAAGAAGGAAAACTATAAAAGTGGAATTATTTGCATTGATGAATATTTTGTGAGTTGAATAAATCCCTCTTGAATTATTGGTGCCAAGATGATCCAGCGAACACTAAGAGATTTCACTAAGATATTTTGGATCTCTGATTTTGAAGCCTATTAGATAAGCAACAAAAATACCTGCTAGTGTTGGGTGAAATGTTTTTCAAATATGTCGGGTTTGGGAAAACTCTAAACATATTTTTTGAAGAACTTTCCACTTCGAGTTTTGAGCCCATGTACATATTAAAGGTAATTTAATCTTGACTCATGTGTAATCAAAACATTGTTGCATAAACACCTATCTTACTTCCAAAGAGAATAACATTTGTTTACATTCTTACTTGTATATTCCTGGACTATATATATTTAATACAGAAAAACGTAAATTACCAATGTCTTCAATTTGGCTTAACTTTATGACTTCCAAAGTCAGTACAGTACATTACTGTTTATTCAATATCAAAACCACCACAGAACTCGAAAACTGAATAGTTTTCAGGACATTATCTTGTAAGAAAGTAAACATGCTGATATAAGAACTTTTTTTCCAATTTTCATTGTCAGTATAGATTCAAACACCATCTAAAGCCTTCTACTAGAAGAAACGACAGTTAATTAATAGTTATGATTAGCATTCTTGGTTGTAAGTTTAAAATCCTAAAGTACTTTATTGATTCACTTTTTCATTTATTTATTCATTCATTTGTACACCAAATGTAAATTAACTGCCAGGCACAAAGAATACAAAAATCAATCAGATACGGTTTCTGGCTTTCAGAAACCATACCAGCAAGGGAAATAGACATACGGAACTAAGACTAATAACACATCCCAATAAATGATTAGATAAAGTTATTCAAAGGAAGACTAAGCTATTGTTTAATTTAAAAGACTTTTTATCATGTTCTAGTTTTTTGAAATTTACTTAAAATATTCAGTTAATTGCTCAGTGTCTCAACAATCCTGGATAAATGAAAATTGATGTAAGTTTCTCCAAATAATGGAAAACAACAAATATTTGTGACAAAATTCAAATATATTGTAAGCAAAAGAGATTTTGAGTAATTGGAGTAGCTTAGTGCGAACCCTCTGGCTGAATGGTTAAGTTTGCATACTCTGCTTGGCGGCCCAGGTTTTCCCTGGTTCATATCCTGGGTGCGTACATATCACTGCTCATCAAGCCCTGCTGAAGTGGTGTCCTACATAGCACAACCAGAAAGACCTACAACTAGAATATACAACTGTGTACTGGGGAACTTGGGGGAGAAGAGAAGAAAAAAAATTGGCAACAGATATTAGCTTAGGTGCCAATCTTTAAAAAAAAAAATTGGAATAGCTTAATAAAAATATCATTTTGAAAGTGGTATTTTCTTTGAAAATTTCAATTTATGATGGAAATGATTTTGGTTTATTAAAATAATGTTAAATTATTATATCAATCAATATTTCAGGTCATGACCCGTGGATTTAAGAAATTCCTCAAGACGATGTCGAATATGATCCAAGAGAAAATGTGATTTGAGTCTGGAGACAATTGTGCTTGTAAGTCCTGGAAAATTAGATTTTCTCATAGTACAATGCAATAAAAACTAACATATCAACTCATTAATTACTGAATTGCAAAAACTTTGATTCATTGTTTTCCTCATGCTACTTTTTTTATATTTAAAATTAATACAATGCTTCTTGATTTTTTGGTTATATTTTTCTTAAGGTCAATTAGTAAGAAAAACCCAATATAGCTGATAGAAGAGAAAACATTATTTGGAAGATTGCTACAATTAAAAAGAAAAGCTGCTTCTAGGTGAGTAATTGGTGAGGGCAAGCAATGGCACAGATTCTCCGTGCTAGTTAATGATGTGCTCTCGTTGCTTGTGATAATAAAAATAATCAAAGCATGTGGAAAGATTTTTATGATTCTTATTCTTATATTTGCCCTGTAACAAAAATCATGACAAGTTTCCTAATGAAATTAAATCCAAGTGCTTAGTTCACTGACAAATATCTACTGATTGGAATTTTTTTATCTTCTTTGAAAAATATTTTTTACACATTCAGTTAAATAAGTGATCATTTATATCTCATAAGAATACTGTGAGAGTAGGTTGCTCAGGAGCCTTATAGGGAGTAAGCAATATACACTTTACCTTAGCAATGTTTGTATCTTAGAATTAAGAAGGTAGGGAGTGGTGTTTTAGACGTTATTATTCATTAGCTCAGAATCGTATCTCCCATTAGAAATATTTAACAGAAAGACTTTTATTTGGTATTGCCCATCTCCTGTAAACTTATTTTAGTAATGTAGATGACTTAGGGAATCTTTTATTTCCTGATTAAAAAAAACCAATTGAATCCTGAAATGAAGAATAATTTGTATTAAATTATAAGGCCATTTTTATGACATATGCATGTTGATTCCCAAGAAATTGACCTGAGAACGATTTTCTCCCTTAAATTAATCAGAAAAATAAAAATGAGATTAATACTCATAGGAAATAAAGGTAAGCTTTTTTTTGTGTTCTTGTGAAACTCTTTATTTTGGTATTTTAATCATTTTATCTCAATTTTGGTAAAGGAAAAGAAAGCAAGATGTTTTCTAATTACTTAAAAATATATATGTAAGAAGCTTTCCTGATGGTAAGGCTAATTAAATTAAAATGTATTTAATTAAGTTCTTTAGTACTTTAAGCCATGATGCTCTTAACATTTGTAAAACGTAAGAGTATTAATGAAACCTTTAAAGCAAAATTATTGTGTAGTTTTAAAAGAAATTATCCATTGAGAACCATCTATATTTCACAATATTGATGAATTATATTTCTTTCATTTTCTATTGCAGTTTGATTTATATTATATAGCATATTTCATTTTGGCTTTAATGATGGAGAAAAAGTGTATCCTGTATTTTGTGTTTCTCTTGCCTTTTTTTATGGTAAGCATAAATTCCTCTAATGTATCTCCCTATCTCTGATTATTTCTGTTTTCACTTCCAATATACCAATAATTGATAACGGTTAATGACAACAAAATGACATGCACATATTTGATGCATAAATTAAGTAAATTTTTATATCCAATCAATACAGCAATAATTCATTTCCTTTCAGTGGGCACTTTTAGGCGATTAATCCGACAGCAGGCACTATAGGATGGTGGGCAGGGTGTGTGAGCAGGGGACGTCAAAGTGAGGAAGGTCAGTGGATACCCATGCTCAAGACACCAGTGGAAAGTAATTATCAGAATGGCTCTATAGTACTGTTGTAGTAGCAGGTAAAATATTTTCAACCAGATCTGTTGATTCTAAGTTAGATCTATCAGAAAAGCAGATTCCAACCTGTTGATTTTTCTCCCATTCTGCCAACTGATTGACTTATATTGACTGAAAAGCGATTCAGAACCATGCACTATATTTTAAATTAATTTCCTCAGCTATTCATTCAAACAAGTATGAAGTGTCCATTTTCTGACGGGCACTGATGCTAAGTTTGGAGCAGCTATGGCTGTGAGTGTTTGCTCTCATGCCTGCCTCTGCAGGTATATGGGGCTATGTGGGACCGGAAGTGGAGGATAGACTATGGATGACTGAAAAGCAATTGCTATACTGGAGGGGTCATATGCCTTATACATTTAATTTATTTTTATTTACAGAAATATTTTGTTCATATTTTTTCTGTGTCTCTCTCATATTAAAACAGTGACTGCACCTTTATCTCATTACATGTATGAGAAACCAAGAGACATAAACTCATCTAATTCTGTGCCAGCAAATAATTTTCTCTCCTCTTGTGTTCCCAACCAAGCAAACTCCACACAGATTCAAACAAAGAAACGCAACAAAATGTACAAAACCTAAACGGGGAAAAAAGCAAGACTACATTCCTGTTAGCATTTGTATTTGAAAACATTCTCAAGTCTCAAGCGGTCCAAATTCTGCACTTCTTAGATGTTATCTTAGGTAAATAGACCAGAATTCAAGAAACAGCTCTTCTGTTTCTTCAGCTCACACCCTCCATTGAGCATGCCAATGAGCTGCTCTGGCCAACACTGGTTTCCTGTAGGTAATTCTGGAACCGATTACCAATCTGATTATTGTAATTTAAGAAATTGTGACCGTTTCTCTTGAGTTCATTCAGATGGTGTTCAAATCTGAGTTCTTATTTTAAGCAAGAGTAAAAATGATACAGGTTTTATGCAGTTCTATAAACTTCCTGAGAACAAGAGAAAAAAATATTAATTTTCTTGATGTTATAAATTTCCATTTATTACTTGTGCAGCACGCCTGCTGCAGAAATCCTTATTAGGAAATTGAAACCAAAAAAAGAGGAAAGAGTTAATGTTAAATGGTGGTCAGGAGATGGTGAAACTTCAGTGGTGCTACACGCTGAGGGAATATTACTATTCAGACTTTACTAAATTCAGCTTCCTGGTAGAGAAGAGAAAATCAAGAACAAGAGAACAAAATAAGAGTAGAAAGATAACTGCTTCTAGAAAATAGTTAATAGAAATAATGGAAAAGTGAAGGAAAAATAAGATTTAAGAGATATTTTTACTGGACTCATATCATAAAATGGGGAAAAATCATAGAAATTAAAGTGGAAGTGAAGCTTAAAATAGTGCTACTAAATTGGAAGAACATAAACATAGACTTTGTCCAAAAACTTTATTGATATGCATACAATAAAAATTCTATTTACCAGCATCATAGATGAACTTGTCATTATTTTGATTATCAAAATATAGTGATAAAAATGACAACAATTTTGAGCATTTACCTCGTAATTAAATGCTAGATACTTCCCCTCTGTTGTCTTAATACTATTTCATCTCATTTTACCTAAGAAAGCAGAGGCTTAGGGGGTTAAGAATCTTGCCTACATTCACAGAGCAGGAGAAAAAGTAGAGGTGGGTTTTGAACACAGCTCAGCCTGCATTCCAGAACATGTCTTGGAGCCAGCTCCCACAGGCTGCTGAGAGCCGACTGCTGACTGTGCTTCCCCACGCTGCCAGTGGCAACTTCTTATAGGTGGCCTCAAATTGGACATGGTGGGGATATTTGTACCATGGAAACTGGCAAACACTGAATCAGGGAGTTCCCCTTAGAGCCAGCTGACCACGCAGTACATCACTGCACTTAGAGTTTTCCACGGTGACAGCCAGCCTCCCACAGACATTCTCACAATTCTGAAGTTTTATTTTTTTTTAATTCCTTAGATTCTTGTCACAGCAGAATCAGAAGAAGAGATCCCTGATGACTCAATTCAGTTGAGTGTTACTAGAAATAAAATCATGACAGCTCAATATGAATGTTACCAAAAAATTATGCAAGACCCTATTCAACAAATAGAAGGTAAACATGACTATTTAATTTTAAATGTATTTGATATATATATATATATTTTTTTAAACTACCCCATTACATCATTATGGGTTCCTTAGCTTCCTTATTAAAAATGTGTTAGCTTCTAGTTTTTCTGGTATATCTGCAGTTTTAACTATTTATTTATGGAGAATATTTATGACATAATTTATCTTGCTCCTTTTAGAAAATTCTATGTAAATAAACTATGTGCAACAGGGGTATTTTTAGGGATAAATAAAGATATTTAAAATATCAAATAAGTATATGTCTTGAATTGAATCACTGACCGTCGATTTTCAGTTTATGGAATCTGTGTTTCCTTTTTTCACAATCTTCATAGGAGCTTGCATAACAGAATGACAAACAGTTTTTTTTTTTTTTGGCCAAACACATACTTTGCATAGGACATTTGGTAGCAAAGCTAATGAAATCTAAGTGCTTCTGTTTCCATAATGTGTTCTTTAGATATTTTTGTCACATGTATTGAGGGCCTATTAAGTGCCAGATATTTGCTTCAATTCTGAGGATGCAAATATAAGTAGCTGAAGTAGCGTTGCCAGATTCAGCAAAAACCAAAACCAAAAACAGGCTCTGTCTTTTACCTGCCAACCCTAAAGACAGGGTCATCTTCAAGGTATAAAACGCAAAACTCACAGTGAAACCAAGCAAAATGAAAAGATTTTAGATATTTCTAAAGTGATAAATTATCATTGGAAACAAAGATCTTAAAATTTGGGGGAAAATATTTGATAGTATAATACATACTGTTTCTTATATAAATTTAATGTTATAAGTAGGTTATTATTACTATTTTTAACTGTTAAAATGAACTTGCTTGTGAGAAAGAGAAAAAGGTGATTTTTCTACATTGGTCAACTTTTAGAATCTTAATTTAACTGAATAATAAAATTACTTCATCTTTGGAGAAGTATTTAGACATACCTGTCCAAACATTTTTATTATAAGATACTCAGCCAGTTAAAAAATATCTTTAAAATACACCAGACAATGGCAAATTATCTAATATTAGGTCAATAGTGGTCAAATTATCAAGTAATTACAAATTATATTCAAATTCTGTGTTAACTGATCTGGCTTTTTACTTTATTTCATTAAAATCTCAGTGTTATTAGTTTAAAACTATTGAATTAACACCTTCCAGATTATCTAGATATATGTAAAAGCAGGCTTCAAATCTAATTGTTGAACAATAGGAATATCTCTATGAGAGTTTCATAATAAAACAATTTTGTGATAAAATGAGTTTAGGATCACTGCATTGTAAATCTTCCTCTTGGAGCTTCATAATGCTCTTTGTAATTTTAAATACTCTAGCATGTCTTGCAATAAAGAACTGTCTTTATTTTAACTTTGTGTTTCCCAAATTTATTTGACCACAAACTTTTTGTGTTTTTTTGAGGAAGATTAGCTCTGAGCTAACATCTGCCACCAGTCTTCCTATTTTCGGTCACGAAGATTGGCCCTGAGCTAACATCTTCTTCTATTTTATATGTGGAACACCTGCCACAGCATGGCTTGATAAGTGGTGCCCAGGTCTGTGCCTGGGATCCTGGCCTGCAAACCTCAGGCCACCAAAGCAGGGTGCGCCAACTTAACCGCTACACTACCGAGCCAGCCCCTGACCACAAAATTTTTTAATGGAATACTTTCTCATGTCTCAAATGACATACAACACGGTTTGAAAAATTCTGGACCTTGCAGTCTATCATGCTGCCAGTGTTGTTGTTAACCAGATGGAATATTTTGGAGCAGTGATAAGGAATCGTTTGAGATGCTTTCTAAAGTGATATCAGCAAATTTTTCTCTGCTAGGGCACAAAACACATTTTATTTAGTAATAGATGGATGCAAACTATTTAAATAAGTATTTGAAAATCACAAGAGAGAAAACTGAGGTTATCTGAGGTTTTTTTAAAAATTGAGAATTATTTAGACTTTCAGGTCAAGAGAATCTTTCTTACTTCCATGAAGGCTAGATTGATTCTGAGAGTGCTGTAAAAATCTGTTAAAAAAATAAACATCCCGTGTAGCGTTCAGGTTTCTATCAATGTGTGCTTACCTGACAAGGTGGAAAATTACTTTCTTTGATTCTAGACTGTTAGATCTTTGGAACAATGATCATTTTATTTCTCTATGCCTTTAAACAATTTTATATTTTTTCATGTAAGAAGTTTTTTATTAAACACTCACTGGGGCTAGCCCGGTGGCATAGTGGTTAAGTTCCCTCGCTCCACTGGCAGCCCGGTGTTCATGGGTTTAGATCCCAGGTGCACACCTACACATCACTCATCAAGCCTTGCCATGGTGCCGACCCACATGCAAAATAGAGGAAGATTGGCACAGATGTTAGCTCAGGGTCAATCTTCTGCACCAAAACATTTAAAATAAATAAATAAACACTCTATTCCATTTGAAAAGAAAAGGAAGGAAAGTGAGTGCTAGAATTTGGTGGAGGGGCCTAAATAACTATGTGTCAGGGTTAATATGATGAAATAGGAAACATTGGAACATTCACTTCTTCGGTTCAGAATATACTAACACCTTGGCCTAAGAACGCAGTTTCTAAAATAAAATATGTTTCTGATTTCCGATATTTTTTTATTTTCAAGCATAGGAATGCTAATTAACCACTACTTTCAGGTTAAGGACAACCGGCAAAGACCACTGATTTATTGAATAAGTAGCTATCTTTGAGAACTAGAATTAAAGCGAAACTTTTTATATTTTTTTCAGCTATTTCTACATTTAATTTAGCAATTAGTTATTCTAATGATTACTTGGTGAAAAATCTAAGTTGTTGCTATAGATTTTATATGATGTCTTCATTTTCAATAGACAGTCTTTATTCCATGTCAGTGTGAACCCACTATTAAGACTCTGTGGCTTCACGTCTAAGTAGAAGCGGTTAGCGAACCCTAATCTGTACTTTCTCCTTAAGGCATTTACTGCAACAGAACCTGGGATGGATGGCTGTGCTGGAATGATGTTGCTGCAGGAACCGAATCAATGCAGCACTGCCCTGATTACTTTCAGGATTTTGATCCTTCAGGTAAAAGCAGAATTTATTTTCAAATATCTTTGACATCTAACTAGCAAACCCTAGGTTAACTAATTACCTTTTTCTTTTTTAATATTAAAGAAAAAGTTACAAAGATCTGTGACCAAGATGGAAACTGGTTTAGACATCCAGAAAGCAATAGAACGTGGACAAATTATACCCAATGTAATGTTAACACACACGAGAAAGTGAAGGTATGTAATAATTATAAATTGAAATTTCATTTACACTCTCTCTTTAAAAAGTTAGTTACTGATACAGCACTGGAGAAATTCAGTTAGTGCTCCATTCCATTGTACAGTGTTTTCCTAATACGCCTTAAGAAAGCAATGAAGAAAAATATCTTTATGGCAATAATTATCATTGATTCTGCCATTCACTGAGGAAGCCATCCTGCTAGGTAACAACGTATTTACAAGTCAATGGCTCAGGATTGGGGCTTCAAATTTTCCAAGGAAAACATACCTTAAAAGTGTAAGAAAAGGGAAAATTTTCATTTGTGGTGGAATTTCTAGAATTACGTGGGGGAATTGTGCTCCAGTAAACAGGATGAGCCCAGCAGGGTTTACAGGTCATCTGCCCCTTAGCAGAAGGCTTCCCATCTGACTGGCTGTCAGTCCCTCACTCACAGGCCCACTTTTAACTCCATATGTTAAAGTCAAGGTTAGTCACGGTGTGTCACAATGATAAAGCTTTGATAGAAAGTGCCTGTATATATTTTCACTGGAGTGTAGACAAAGGCAATTTCTCACAGTGATTAAATCTGAATCCTGATCTCTGACTTTCTGCCCTTTACCAGCTCTGTGACTTTGGTAAGCCATGACCTCTCTCTGCCTCGGTCCCCTCAGGTATAAAATGAGGATAACAATAAACCCACCTTCAGGGTTTTTTTTTTTAATAAGGTTTGACTTAATATAAACAAAATACTTAGAAAACTAACAAGCATGTAGTAAGCACTTGATAACTGTCAGCTATCATTGTACTTATAAATCATGTATTCTTTGCATATTCAGAGAAGGGTTTGAAGAGAATTATAAACATATACAATAAAATGGTAAGTTGCAAATAAGTGGAATACAGGCAAATAAAAATCGAAGAGAAAAAGTCAAACAAGGAGAAATTTAGTTTGTATCTGTACAGATCAGAGTTCCTATAAGTTACTATGTTCAGATTTGTCTTGGAGCCTCAAATTTGTCACAGGAAAAAGAAAAACCCATTTGGGAAAGAAAGCCTTATCTGGCATTTAAGCCTAAGCAAACAAACGAACAAAAATCATCAAATTGTCTTTGATTTAAGGTGCACAAAGTGATACAGTGAGAATTGTCAATATCCTCCAAAATATAAAATGGTTTCATATATTGCACAAGCTAGATCAATAAAATTATTCCTTCATATATTTAATAACTTTCTAATTTCTTAAACAGAAAGGGCTTGTGATTTATAAATTTTAAGGTTACTCAATAAATTTGCATAGATATTCTTCATATCAGACGTATTCAAGTATTTCTTGGTTTATAAGCTAAATGGTAATGCCATCAGATCACGTTTTTTAAAATATATTGTATTGAATTTGAGTTTATACACATGTAGTGATTATAAGTATTGTAAGTATTATTAGTATTGATATAAGCCTTCATTTTTTTATTCATATAAATTATAGACTGCCCTGAATTTGTTTTACCTGACTATAATTGGACATGGACTGTCTATTGCATCACTGCTTATCTCGCTTGGCATATTCTTTTATTTCAAGTAAGTACATGTAAAATATTTTTTAAATTTACCGGTTGTCTTTGGTGAATGTAGTGTCGTGTGCATGTTCGTCTCACGTGCTGATAAAATATACAAAATATTGATGATGATTTATAATATTTAAAATAAATTGAATGTTTGAGATATGTTGAACTTATCTTGACTTTGTAGAAATATAGAGCGAGGAGGTTGATGAAATATCTGAAGTCCGACTTTAAAAAATTAGTAGACATATAATAAGGAAGTCATATAGTAAGAAAGGAGCCAAAATCAATATGTAAACCTATCCATATTTGCTTTGGAAACTGTCAAATATTACAGTCCTTCTTAATTGAATTTTCAACCTCTTGGTCAATTTTAGTATCAGTATACATGGTGCATTATAGGAACCCGTATTTTGTGTGAATAATAACAATGACATTTAATATATATTATTAAAAATAAGAATCCCAATATATTATGATTAGGTTATTTTTCCTGGTTTGAGGGGATCATTGTTAAAATGGTTAAATTATACTTTGAACTTTACTTGAGATTTACTCCTTTTTTGGGGGAGGGAGAGTCAGCTGCAATTTCTTGATTCAATCAATCAACAAGTGATTTTTTAAATTATAGGAAAGTAAATTCCAAAACATGTATACATTATTTTATGCATTAACATGGTTTTCATAATTTTGATCACAATCACATAGAGTGCTGTGTGAAGAGTGAGTAGCTGTATTTCACTGCAGCTTCATCACCATATTCATTATCTTAGCCGTCCCCTCCTCTTCCCTTCCTTCTTCTCTTCCTCTTCCCCTCGTCCTTTGCCTTCTTATTCTTCTTTAACAGTCATCTTGAAACATCAACAGCTTCAGAACCAGCTAGAGTAGTAGCACGTGAAAATAATCCAAATCGAGAAATTATCAGACAGCTGGATGTTAAGTACTTCTGTAACTGGAGCACCAACTTTAAGCTCATAGTCCATCAAATATTCAGAGTACATCAAATAATATATGAACCAACCAACTGTTACCTCTCCTGGGTTCAAAATCATGGGATCTAGAGATTGTACCAGAATTAACATTTTTGGAAACTTGTACCTTCTTAAGAATCTTCAATATCAATTACTTTGAGGAATCCACATGAAAACTTTTTAATGGGGCTTTCGATTTATGACATTATCTAGGCACCATTAGAAACTGATTTTAAAAACTCTACTCTGAATAAAGCTAATTAAACGTGTGTACATTTTTAAAATTGGACATTTTCTTTAGTAAATTGTGCAAAATGTATATCAAAAGAAGTTGAAAATAATTTTTATCCTAAAATATGGAAAACATTTCTGAAAGACTTAAATTTACCATGCTATATTTTGCAACAAGTCACCAAAATGTTCTTGCTCAAAACAAACTGCCAGTTCTCAGTCACTGCCTTTACAATTAGTTACATCACATCAGTTACTTATATATAGCTTATTAAAGCTCCATCTGTACTCTTGAATATGCTCCTAGTTTATGCAAGATTTTTGAAATTAATACTATCTTTGGAGTAGCAAAAACTTTATTATGATTGTCTAATAGCTTAAAAATAGCTCTGAAAAATGGAAAATAAACCATTTTCCAAAGTGACAATTTTTAAATAAAGTCCTCAAGTCGGCAGTGATATATTATTTATGCTAATTAACAAAGTGAAACAGTATTGCTGATGCTAACAAACATTGGTAAAATATAGCAACAAAACTAGGTTAATATTTAATTTAGTTAATTTAAAAACACAAAATGAAATTAAAATTTCAAACTCTCATTTAGTATAATAAAAGGAACAAACAGTTTAAGAAAGAAATAGTTCATTTTTTTTCTTCATTCCTGGAAACAAAATCTGTACAATTTAAAAATACAAAGTATCTAAATTTGAAAATATGACTCTCTTTGGTTCTTGGAACTAAATGATGCAACGAGTTGCCTTAAAATTTATGCAATACTCTAGAACTCAGACTTTCAGTTCACAAAAATTACGTATCTACCACATCTATAAACAAACACAAAGAGAGAGTTAATTTAAGTGTAACTAATATTAGCCAAAATTCTTTTTTTAACATGAAGACTTTTATGACTATGACTGCGTATAAAATAGACCAGCCTTTACCATAAAGGCATAAAATAGAAATCGTAAGAGTTATTTAAGATTGTCTTATAAATCTTCTTGGGAAAAAGTTGTGTTTTAAATATTTCTAACTTCAGGAAAAAGAATTCAGTCCTTAATTAAAAACAAACAAGCTATAATGTTGAGAAACGAGACTTGCACTTAAATTTGCCACATTTAAAAAAAATAAAAAACAATTTAAGCATGTAACTAATTTTTAAATAAAGAAAAGAAAACTATGCACATAATTCTAACATCCTATTGATCACTTTTTGTATTTTTCCAGTTTCATTTCATTTTCATTTGTTTTTACAGTTTTAATTGCAATGTAACAATTATTTTAACTGTTTTTATAATTTAGCACTATATAATTTTTCCATGTCACTAAAGAGTTTTTAAAAACAACCATTTAATTAGCTAAATAATATTCCACTTAGTAAGTTGACAAAAGTTTATTAAATCATTCTTCTTTTTTTTTTCCTAAAGATTGCACCTGAGCTAACAACTGTTGCCAATCTTCTTTTGTTTTTCTGCTTTTTCTCCCCAAATTCTCCCAGTACAAAATTGTATATTTTAGTTGTGGGTCCTTCCAGTTGTGGCATGTGGGATGCCGCCTCAGCATGGCCTGATGAGTAGTGCCATGTCTGCGCCCAGGATCTGAACCAGTGAAACCCTGGGCCGCCACAGCGGAGCGCCCGAACTTAACCACTTGGCCACGGGGCCGGGCGCATTCCTCCATTTTTGAACATTAACGTTTCTTCCAATTTTTCCCATTAATAAAAAACACTGCAATGGACATTTTGAGGCATAACTTTTCCCATATTTTGCACTATTTTTTTAGCTACATTCCCAGAGACTTGGGATTGTTTGGTCAAAGGATATACATCTTTTTACGGCTCTTGAAATACATCATCTCAAAAGCATCTCAAACATGTTCAAAACAAATTCACAGTGTCTACCTCCTCCTAACCCAAAGCAGTATTTCTTCCAGACCCATCTTTACAAATACCACTTACCAGCAATCTAGTTGCATTAGCCAGAAATTTAGGAGCAGTCTGTGACACCTTCTCAGTTTTCTTCCCTATCACTCTTTCCTCATACTCTGTGGATTTAACCTCCTAACAGCCCTCTAGTCTATCCAATTTGTTTCATCTCTGCTGTCGCCACCACCAACCTTGTCTTACCTAGCCTCAGTAAAACCACTTTCACCACCCTCATTCAATTCTAAACAATGCAGCCAGAATATTTTCAGATTTAAATCAAATATAGATCTGATTTTGTCATCCTTTGCTTTAAAAATTTGACTTCCTATTGTAATTTATAGAAAGTCAAAACCATTAGCATGTCCTGTAATTGAATAGTCTGCCTCTTCTCTCCCCTTCTCCTCTAGCATAGTTAAATGTATTCATCTTTCAGATCTCAACTTGAGCATCATTTCCTCAGTGAAACCTTCCTAAATTCCTTATTGTAGTAGTTGTAAAACTGCAACTAGTTGTAGTGGACTTGGAGTAAATTTTTAATTACCATTTAGGAGACCATCATCTCTGCAAATTTAAAACTAATACAGCTGAGACCCTTCAGATTAAATGACCTCTTTTTATTTTGTATGTAATAAGTCAAAGTATTCAAACATATTAAATTTCTGAAGGACATGAAATTAAGAAGTGCAGCAGTTATGTTGCATGCAAAATCAGCAGTCAAAGAGAGAACAACTGGGGGCCGGCCCGGTGGTGCAGTGGTTAAGTGCGCATGTTCCACTTTGGTGGCCTGGGGTTCACTGGTTCTGATCCCGGGTGCGGACATGGCACCACTTGGCAAGCCATGCTGTGGCAGGTGTCCCACATATAAGATAGAGGAAGATGGGCACAGATGTTAGCTCAGGGCCTGTCTTCCTCAGCAAAAAGAGGAGGATTGGTAGTGGATGTTAGCTCAGGGCTAATCTCCCTCAAAAAATTAATTAGTTAATTAATAAAAATAAATAAAAAAATAAAAAAAGAGAGAACAACTGTCTCCTAGAATTCTAAGCCCTATAGCCCCAAACAAGTTTGAATTTAGCAAGGATATAAATAAATAAAGCCCTACACTAATTCCATAAAGTCAAATGCAAAATTAACACAACTCCTTCATGAAAGAGCCCAGGATTTGATTGAACAAATGCTTGCTGTGAACTAACGAGGCAGTAGCGGACTGTCAAGTGAAAACAATGCTGGAAGCCAGACTACACCAATAAATGTGAAGTATCAATTCCAAATCTCTAATCAGTCCAGCCATTTATTCTGTCTACTCTGGACTGACGTTGTAAGAGGAAAAGAGGAAGTCATAAGAATTGGCCTATCAGGACAGTGAAGAAATTGAAGAGACTAATGTCTACTGATCAGGGAGTTGAGGTACCAAGAATGTTAAGCCAGAAAAAGATAAAATATAGGGGGCACAATAGATGACTTCAAGAATTCACCTGACTATAATTGGGAATAGAGTTTGTATAATAACATAAAGAAAATATTTGTCTCACTTAAAAAAAATTAAAAACTCTACCAGCTAAAAACGTAGAATGAACCACCAAGTGACCAATTGACCTTCCTGTCAGTCAAGATTTTCCGACAGAAATTAGATGTCAACCTGTCAGGAATTTTGAAATGGGTGATTACTATACTGGATTTACAGCTGAAAGGAATGATCTTTAATGCTACTTCTAAGCCTATGAATGACCAGCCATTCAGTAAATAGGATTAGAACCAAGGAGTTAATGTTTTTATTCAAAGTACATAATTTCAATATCAGGGAAGTGAGCATTGTGAAAGTATTTTGCAAGATAAAAGCAATCTACACAGATAAGCTGTATTTATTATTGATTAGGAATTGAAAGAAAATCTGGT